GGCTGAAAAGCACCATGAGTTTCCAACATGGCTGTTTCATCCAGTGCAGCAGGTTTGTGCACAAAAACTCACACAAATCTGGGTGGCTGTTTCAACTGGCACCTGGAACCCTTGGGAGACAGAGCCACCCATTAAACTGAAAAAATGGGGTCTGAAACAGGGGCTATGTGATCTGGCTTGGCAGGTCCCACCCCCACAAAGACTAGCAATCTGAAACACTCTGGATTGACAGTTTTGCAGGAAGCGCAGCTGGACCTGGAAGGCCCAACTCTGTGGGGAGAAGGGCGTCCACCATTACTGGGGCAGACCACAACTACCGATGCAGTCAGCCATTACTGAAGCAGTCCACCATTACCAAGGCAGTCCGCCACTACTGAGGCAATCTGCCCTAACTGAGGAAGTCCACCATTACAGAGGCAATCTGCCATTACTGAGGCAGACCACCATTACTGAGTCAGTTCTAATTATACCTCTGTAAACAAAACAGCAGACTGTGACTAGGCTACCTCTTTGCTGGGCAGGGCATCTCTGAAAAAGGGCAGCAGCACATCAGGAACTTATAAATAAAGCCCCACCTTCCCAGGACAGAGCACCTGGGAAAAAAGGTGGCTATGATTTCTGCTGCAGCAGACTTAAACATACCTGCCCAGCAGCTCTGAACAGAACAACAGAGCTCACAGCTCAGCACTTGAGCTCCTATAAGAGACAGACTGTCTCCTCAAGCAGCTCCCCGAGCCCTGTATATCCAAAAAGACACCTCATAAAGGAAAGCTCAGGCTGACATTTGTGCTTATCTTTCTGAGATGAAGATAACAGAAGAAGAAACTGGCAGCAACCCTTACTGTTCTGCAGCCACCACAGGTGATCCACAGGAAAGCAAGGTCTGGAATGGACCTCCAGCAGTCCTACAGCAGAGGGGCCTGACTGTTAAAAGGAAAATTACAAAACAGAAAGAAATAACTTCAACATCAACAAAAAGAACGTCCACTCAAAGACCCCTTCCAAAAGTCACAAACTACAAAGACCACAGGCAGATAAATCCACAAAGATGGGAAGAAACCAGCACAAAAAGGATGAAAACACCAAAATCCAGAATGCTTCTCCTCCTCCAAGGGATCACAACTCCTCATCAGCAAGGGAACAAGGCTGGATGGAGAATGAGTCTGATGAATTGACAGAAACAGATTTCAGGAGGTGGGTAATAACAAACTTCTCTGAGATAAAAGAACATGTTTTATCCCAATGTAAAGAAACTAAGAATCTTGAAAAAAAGGTTTGATGAAATGCTAATGAGAATAAACAGCTTAGAGAAGACTATAAATGACTTGATGGAGCTGAAAAACACACCACAAGAACTTTGCGAATCATAAAGTTTCAATTACCAAGTCAACCAAGCAGAAGAAAGGATATTGGAGATTGAAGATCAACTCAATGAAATAAAATGAGATGGCAAAATTAGAGAATAAAGAGTGAAAAGAAATGAACAAAGCCTCCAAGAAATATGGGATTATGTGAAAAGACCTAATCTACATTT